AACTTCTATTGTTCTATAAATATAAATGATCTTTCAATATTGAACAGAAATAAATGCATACCAAATTCACACAGCTATGCATTTTATAGTAGGGTAAGTCATAGATAATATTTACGACAGGTGCTTATATTTTAAAAAGTTTGAAACGGTACAATCAGAGCAGCAAATTGGTTCTGCTGTACAAAGGATTGAATATTAAAATGTGTTTGCCAGTTAAATTTGACACATCTTATTAAGGAAATATGAGCCATAACGCTTTAGAGAGAGCACAAACCAATCATACACAGGCTTTTTTAGCTTTACATATAAATTATGATATTGAAAAATCAGGCTTGTAGTTTCTTTGGGTTTTCATACCATATCTTTCAGTTAATTTTTCCCCCTGGTGGCATAAATCTCCATGCCTTTCAATCACCTATTAACAAGATGGAATTAAAACTTACCAGTTACAAAGATACGTAGGAATGAAATGTCAATGTTATAAATACTTTGAAAATCTGGATAATCCTAGCTGCTACAAAATTTTAATGGGTTTATTCTTGGCCAGACTGCATTAGTTTACAAGATCAGCTCTATCCTGCCTTCCCGGCAGTCCTTCCCAGCACACTGAACAACCAGGGAAATCAAACCAAAAATCTACCTTAAAAGCAACCGGAATGCACAAATTCCTCCTCCCTAAAGGGTAACGACAACAACTGAAAGGCCTGGTTTCTGCATCTGGGACAAACTGTTCCTTCACAGCTCAAAAAGCAAACTGTGGGTTCAATATATCACACAAAAACAGGAAAAGTTACAGTTCTTACAAACTTTCAGACACATGTTACAGGAGTAGCTGTTTGGCGCAGGTGATAATCTGTGACAACCAGCCAGTTCTATATTTCTTTAAAACAGGTCACACCTTTCAGGGAGGGTTCAGGTATTTGCTCTCATGAAGAGTTTTACAGATTAGAGAAAGTTTTCTTAGGCAAGGGCTTGGCACACAGTTGAGTAACATGCAATTCCCTTCCCACTCCTCCTACAGGAGATGTGGAACAGGTTAAACTGTTGGCTCCTTTATTCCTTCAGATCATCCTTAAGCAAAGAAGGCAGTTGCAGCTGCTGATATGCAGCACTGATCAAATCAGCTACATCTCTGTACTCACAATCAGAACAACTTTCCCATTAGTTTTACTGACACAAGGGGTGTTTGTGTCTTGAGTATGATTCCAGAATTATGGCCAGTTAGGAATCAATCAACTTAATTCCTGGACCGAGTGGTTTAATAAGGTCATCGTGACATACTCGTATGTAGGATGTGCGGGGGGGGGGGGATGACCAAGGACAGAGAAGGGCATTGGGCTCATTTTGGTTCCTACTTTTCAAGTGTTCCCTAAAAATAAAACAAGAGGATTGGGTTTTTTTTTCTTTTCCTTTAAAAACAGAGGAGAAAGTCTGTAAAGGGGTTAAAAAAGTTCTAAATAATTACAAAAGTGAGAGCTTTTCAATTTAAATACAAACATACTTACAAAATCTTACAGAGGCTATTTACAAAAACCTCAAAGTCACATTCTCAACTTTACAGTAAATTCAGTCCAGCAGAAGACAAGAAGTGTGTGTGTGGGAGGGGCATCTCTCTTCACCAGTTTCTTTATGTTTAGGCTCCTGTGGGCTGGAAAGAAAAGTTGCCAACCAAGAAGATTTCAGAGACTGGTTGTATGTCTCTCCTGCACTCTTTTGCCACAGTCCTTGAGTCCTTATGCCTGCTTATCCTTAGCTGGTTGTGCAGACTTCACACTGTTGTTTCCCCTTGCTTGCTGTTGGTAAATCTGGTATAGAACTTCCTCCAGGAATTCAGGGTTTTGCCTGACCAGATCCAGAAGCCCGAAGTGATTCCTACAATTAAGGTCATGAGATATTTGATCATGAAGACTGTGAAGTCAGGGCTCATGGGTGGATGGTGGTGGTTGCTTGGGCAAGGGATAGCGTAGCTCTTGCAGCTCTGAGCAAACCAACTCCGTTCCCACTGTTCCCTAAAAGCTTGCTCGTAAAAATAGCAAGCAATGACAATGGTGGCAGGCACAGTGTACAGGACGCTGAAGATCCCTATCCTCACCATCAGTTTTTCTAGCTTTTCTGTCTTGGTGCCATCATGCTTCATAATGGTCCTGATGCGGAAGAGGGAGACAAATCCAGCCAGCAGGAAGGACGTGCCAATGAACAAGTAAACAAACAATGGTGCTAGCACAAAGCCCCGCAAAGCATCCACATTGTTGATGCCCACAAAGCAGACACCACTGAGGATGTCTCCGTCCACCTGTCCCAATGCCAAGATTGTGATGGTTTTAATGGCAGGGACAGCCCAAGCAGCCAGGTGGAAGTACTGCGAGTTGGCCTCTATGGCCTCGTGGCCCCACTTCATCCCAGCAGCCAGGAACCAAGTGAGAGAGAGGATGACCCACCAGATGGAGCTGGCCATGCCAAAGAAATAGAGCATCATGAAGAGGATGGTGCACCCCTCCCGCTTGGTGCCCTGGGCCACCGTCCGCGAGCCGTCGTCCGTGAACCGCTCGTTGCAGACCACCTTCTCCTCCAGCAGGAACCCTGCGATGTAGGCCACGGCCACAGCCGTGTAGCAACCCGAGAGGAAGATGATGGGTCTCTCGGGGTAGCTGAAGCGTTTCATGTCCACCAGGTAAGTGAGGACGGTGAAGAGGGTGGATGCACAGCACAGCACCGACCAAATGCCAATCCAGGTGCGGGAGAAGCGCAGATCCTCCGGTCCAAAGTACATGAGCCCGTAAGGCCGGCCCGGCTCACAGGGGGCGCCACAATCCTTCTCGCCCAAGAAGCGGTAATTGAGGTAAGAAGGGACCTTGAGCCCCCGGGGGCAGGTGAACCTGCCGGCCCGCTCCGCCAGGTGGCCCCCTCCTCCTCCCCCTCCGGCGGCCACCCCACCACCGGCTGCCCCACCGCCTCCTCCTCCGGGCCGCAGCAGCTGGGGGTGGCTGGTCCAGAACTCGGGCCCCAGCGAGGGGGTGGGCGTGCCGCGCTCGGAGAGGTTCTGGCCCACGCAGAGCTCGCCGGCGCCGTGCACGGGGAACTTCTCGCAGCGCAGCGTGTCGGGCCACTGGAAGCCGAACTTGTTCATGAGCGCCTCGCAGCCCTGGCGCGCCCGCTCGCAGAGGGAGCGGCAGGGCGGCAGCGCCTGCTCCAGGACGGTGCAGACGGGCGCGTACATGGAGCAGAGGAAGAACTTGAGCTCGGCCGAGCACTGCACCTTGACCAGCGGGTAGAACTGGTGCACCTCCAGGCCCGCGTCCTCTTGGTTGGTGTGGCCCAGCAAGTTGGGCATGATGGTCTGGTTGTAGGCGATGTCCGTGCACAGCGGGATGGTGATGGGCTGGCAGTAGCCGTGGTCCGGCACCGAGATGCCCCGCTCGCCGTTGTAGTGAGGCGGCGGCGGCGGCGGTTGTTGCTGCGCTTGACCCCCGACGGGAAGCACCGGCGCCTCCGTGCAAA